CCACCTTCTTACAAGTCATGCCCCAGCAGTGTAGTGAAAGGCACATGGCTTAAATTTAAAGAAATGAAATAAGATTCTGGATTTGCTGACTTTTATTAGCTGAGTGACATGGACCAGTCCTTTCAATTTCTCTGGGCCTCTTTCCTCTTGCGTCAAGTATGAGCCATAGACAAGCTAACTACCAGGTGTGTTTGGCTCCCAGTGCAGGGAACAGTCAGTGCCAATAGGTAATACATGGTCTCCTGCCAGCATCCCAGAGAGCCATTTTGAGCTTGGGATGCAAGGGTCCCTCTTCAGGCCCATCAGGAGAATTTCTTCTCCCAGCCAAGCATGACAGGTGCTATATCCGGGGTACCTGTCTCTACTTAACACTGCTGCTGGCAAGAAACTGCTGAGCGCTTTTGAAGGCATTCCTCAGAAGACTTAACTAACCCCCTGGACCCTCTTTCCAGTCAGGAAGAGCCCACGCTCTGGGGCATGGGGCTCACAGAAACACAGTTCCAAGCCTGTGGTTTCCTCCTCTTTGGTGGATAAAATTCTAGGAACCCTGTATCAGGCCAGGCCACCAGAGTCCACATTAGGACTCTATCCAAATTAGAAGAGGTCCCCTTCCTTCCACCAGCTGATGTCCAGTTGGCAGAAGGAGCCCTATCTGGGTTATGTCCCCTAAGCCAGCCCCCTAAACCCGTCCCAGTCTAAGGCAGAGTGAAGGAACAGAGAATGTCCCTTAGGATCATTTTCTCCTGGCCAAGAGTCAATGGATGAAAACTCTCCAGTGGACAGAACACTTTTGCTACACCAAAGCACCAAATGTAAGCCCTGTTTGGTTGAAATGTTTTTATAGCCAGAGAGCAATCATCATAGGTTGAAAGTAATGTTTTCAAGAATATCCAGGTGAGAACATTCTATCCACGCTTATCCAGGTGAGAAAATTCTAGAACTTTTGTTGATTCATATAATATGGGACCATGCAAGAGGTTTCACAAACACAGGCAAGAGAGAGACCGGTGGTACCATAGAGCTTCCTCGTCTGCACAAGTTTGTGCGAGAATTCAAAAGTTTGCAACGGCGGGTTCAGCATCTTGTGATCACGGCACGCTTTGGTGTTCCTATTTTTGTAGCCTACTTGACATCCTTTACACTGAACAGGTTGGCAACACTGGCCTCATGACCAGTGATCTACAACCATATTCCAGAGTCTTCAGAAGCGCCCCCCTCTGTTTGCCTGCAGCTCTGCGTGGCTGTTGGAAAATGGTTGACTGCCTAGCCAAGGTGCCACAGAGATTGTACACATCTGAAGTCATCGTCCTAGCAGGTGCCAGGACACGAGAAACTTTTTTTTTTTTTTCCTGTGGCTCCGGCTCCACATTCCATTAGGCCTCCTCCACATGCTTCATCACGACGTCGCAGAGGCACTGCATGCATTTGGCAGCATTTTCCAGAAAGAGTTGTGTGGCTCCCTCAGACCAGTTGAGAACCACGGGTTTGGGCCACGCTCAACCCCCAGTGTGTGATGCTCTTCATGGGAACACAGAATGACGAGGTGTTGGTTTTCCTTAATAACTTGTGCCTCGGGATGCTGTGATTCTTCAACGTTAAAGCTTATGCTTTGCTGGTTTAAGAAGAAGCTGGACTCGATTTTAAGAGATCTTAATTGAAAAGACAAACACATTCAACTGTCTGCAGGAAACTCAGGGGAGCCACGAGGCCACTACTGAACCATTGCTGCTTGCCAAGGCGGTATTCTCCTCATTTCTGGAGAATCACCCCAAGATGAATGAAAGGATGTGAAAAGCACTTCGTTAGTTGTGAGATCAACCCCATTCCCAGCCTCCAAGTCAACTGTGAGCTCCTTCGAAGGCAAGGATTCCATTCTTTGTCTTGAGAGTTTCAGTGCTAACATCCCACCCAGCACATAGTAGGTGCTCAGTAAAGGGCTGCAGCGTGGTAACTCTGTAACTGGCTGGATTTTAGCTGAGGGAGGGGGGATAACTCCCAGTTTGGGGATTTAGGTTAGCGTAGGCTTTTTTGAAATTTTTTTGACTGTATGAAAACACACTTCACATCATGACACAGAGTACACACACACACTCTGTCACACTCACATACACTCCCGCACGTGCGTGCTCTCTCTCTTTCACACACATACACACACACACACACACACCCCTACCTTGAAAACCAAATACTTATTCTTACTTTGTGAAACACTCCTCAGAGTATCTTCTACTCTGTTCTATTCCTTATTTCCCTCGACTTTCCTAAAATGCTGTTTGCCATCCACTACCTTGATTTCATGGCTGGTTGCGGTCTGGAGTCTCGAAACCCCCTGGCTGAGGGCTGATTGGACGGACCTGCACTGAGACTCAGGAGACAGGGCTGGGCGGACAGACGGGAGTCTAGAAAGTCCTGTTTCTCTGGCTCTTCCTTCCTGAGGCTCGTGGTCCCTTCCTGTCTCAATCCTCTCAATCCCGTACCTCATCCTGTCAGGGGAGAGCCCCCTGGGCGGAGCTCTCAAGGCATCACTCAGTAAAGGGAGTCAATTATTATGGGGAAACAGGGCTGGGTGAGGGGGAAGGGGAGTCAGTGCTCCACAGGCACAGAATTTCAGTTGTGCAAGAGGAAAAGCATTCTGTGGACAGACGGTGGAGATGGTTGACAGCGTGAATACACTTCATGCCCCAGAGCTGTACGCTTAGAGACGGTTATGATGGTCAGTTTTACATTGCGTGTATTTTGCCACAGTCAGAAAGTATATATATACTTGTGTGAAAACCAACATTCCTGCAGCGGTCCCCTGGAGATGGAGCCTCGGGATTAGAAGAGTCCTTAAGGGTCATTTAGACCAATCCTCCCCGGACGCTCAAGCCTCTGGCGTAGAATTTCCCCCAAATGGATTACAGTTACCAGGGATGGGGCCTCATCACTCAGAACAGGTTATTTTATCTTGGGACAATTCTGACTTGTGACTGTTCAGAAGTTCTCCTTTGGATGAGCTGGAATTTTCCCCATAGCTTCCACAATGGAAGCCATTTCCACCCCTCAGGGTCACTGAAACAACCTTAATCTCCTTTTCCACAGACTCTTCCACAGTTCAATAAGTATTTTTTCAGTGCATCCTAAGTACCACTCTCTGATCTCCCAAGTCTCCTCTTTCCAGCTTCACCTTCCAAAATCTGTCCAACTCTCCCCTCACCACCCCACACTGCTCCTCTGAAGGAACCCATTGGCCGCTCTCCCTCTTAGAGAGTCATCTCTCGAAATGAAATCATGACTCTGACCAATGCCCCGAAATTTCCCATCACGAAACGGAAAATTCGGCTGTAGGCTGAGAGGAGAGCGTTGGCGTGGCAGGCTGGTGAGGGAGATAGCTGAGGACAGCGCTGACATATTATGTGGAAGATTAGATTTGTCCTCTGGGTGCGAAACTAAAAAAATCTCATGGATCCAACCCTTAGTTCTGAAGGACAGATGCAAGATCCAATCAACCACAACTCTTATCTCTAATATATTCTGTTCTGTCAGAACCCTATAAAACACCACCCAGCTCTCCTTGGAGCGAAATACTTTATTACACATAGCATGGCCCCATACTGGGTGCTTGCCAATATGCAAATTTACACAATGTATCACTTCCTCCTTTGACTCTGGAACCCAAACAAATGGGTCATGTTCCCCAAATCCCATAAAAGTACGATTCTGGACAGTGACCACGGCACTCCTAAAGAATTTCCTTCTAAGTAGGGAGAGGGATTTCTTTGCAGAAAAATACCTCTGCAGCTTCATTCTACTATATAATTAAATCTCCCCTAGATACTTTGAAGTTACATTTTATAGCTTATTTTGAATGTTCACATTTTATCTGAAAATTATAATTTTCCTCTAAACACGAGTTTTTACCAGGCTTTTGAATTATGACAGCTGGCTTCATATTTCAACTATACAACAGTGAAAAGACACAGTGAACGTGTCCATCACAAGAGGTACCTAGAGTGCTGGGTCTTCCAGTCCCCCTGCCTTCCTGCACCCCACTGCCCTGCGTCTGGGGGCACTCCGACCAGCTTGGGGGACCCCAATTTTGATGACCCAGTTGGAGTAGCTGGTTTCAAGATGGAACAGGATGGGGAGAAGGGTGAGGCGTTCTCGTGTTTGGGTGCTTTCAGACTCAGCTCGAATCTATCTCCTCAGAGCAGCCTTCCTGGCAAGCTGGGCCTATCATTCTCTCACCGGCTCTATTTCTAACACACATATTGGTTAGTGTAGAGGTCTCTGTCTGCATCCCCAAGAGACCGTCAGCTCCTTGAAGGCCAGGCAGTGCCTTCCCTATTAGACACCGTGTAGCCAACTCTTTGCACACGAGACACACAAATGTTGGCTGAATGAGAAAAATGAATGACTAGAAGAACCCAGAAACACAGGGATAGGAGTTCTCTTAGAAGCAGCTCTATTGGGACATGCTTCTCAAAGATTCTCTTGTTTTTCCCTGACCCTCCCCAACACACTCCCCACATTCTCTCCCCCTCCACACGGCATGTCCCCAAAGATCCAGAGACATGAGTCTGTCATCTCCTGGCCTGGCCTAACCAATCCTGCGACACAAAACCCCTTGCCACCATGTTTAGACATGAAACTCAATCCCAGGAAAGACAAGCCCATCTCCATGAAGCTCGCTGTTTGGGCCTCAGGGAACCCTCGCTGAAACCCAGGAAACTTCATAGACTTCGCTCCTGTCCACAGAAGCTGCTGAGTTACTCTGTGGCATTGTAAGAGGGTGGACGTGGGTCAGCAGAGCCTACCCGGCGGCTGCCCATGCACCCTCACCTGAATCTTTGGACCATTATCCTTGAGTCTTCACATGCTTCCCCCGCGTCCTTGCGAGAGAAATCTCCTAGTTTGTGGGTCACTCGTGGACTTTAACCAGAGTCTTTCTCATTGACCTGTATTGTCACCAACGTGGCTTTCGCTCCCTCATGTCCTAATCCTCTGCTTGTCTCTTTCAGGTGTCCGGTTTGGAGTCCAAACCGGTGATGGACAGTGTCCTGTTTTTACGCCACAAAAGATGGGAAGAGGTCAGAAGTGTCCTGACTTCGGCTTTCAGTCCTGAAAAGCTGGATGAGGTAAGCTGCAGGGAATGCAGACTCGCCCCTTATGGTTTCTTCTCTCCAAATTGTGATGGAGAGCGGGTTCCCGGGGCGCCCCTTGTCCACACAGGACATTAAAATGCCCTGCCCACAGGGTCCGTCAGACCTCCCTAGGACAAAAAAAAGCCCCGGGAAGAGTGCTGGAGTGGGGTCCACTTCCCCAGGCCCCACATCTCCAGTCGCCATGAAGCAACTGTGAGTCTCCAAGCATGTCTGGCACTCCTGTGAGGTCCTGGGATGGCCCCAGGCACTTTGGGGCCACCCAGGAGAAAATGGGAGACGTGCCTCTCATCCTTCTAGGTCTGATGGATCACCTGGGAATCTTGTCAAAATGCAGAGTCTGATTCAGCAGGTCTGGGGGTGGGGGATGGGCTGAGATCCTGCATCTCTGCCAAACTCCCAGGTGAAGCATGTTTTACACGGGGAGGAAACAGAGCAGCCGGAAACAAAGGTGAGCTGCGGCTCCAGTCCGCAGTGGGGAAGAGATGGCTGCGGGTCGCAGGGGAGGGGCCCTGCTCTTTCCTTCCGGCCCTCAGTCCTACCTCTGGGCCAAGATCTGTCACACCTGATCTTCACATCTGTTAGTCCGGCTTTGGTGTTTGGCCTAAATTCTGCAAGAATTTGGGGGATCAAGTCCGTGAGCCCTTCTGATGTGAAGTGCTCAGGGACTGACTCAGAGTCCCAAGTACCTGGGCAACTCCAGAGCAAGTGTCCTTCCGGAGCCGCTCCCCGTCTAGCTGTTCCAGAAAGCCTGGGCTCAGAGCCAGGGCCTGTCTTCAGCTCAGGAAGTGAAGTGAAGGCTACTCTTAAACTCAAGATGCTCACCCATACGGTCCTGTTTAAGACCTACAAATCCCGGGAAGCCCCCCAGAAGAGGAGAGTTCCCGTGCTTCATAATTAATCCCGTCCAATAAAAAACGCTCAGAAACCAGTGATCCTGCCCACAGTCAGTGAGGTTTTGGTATTGGCGGTGGCGGGTGAGCTCAGTTTATAGGACCAGTGGAAACAAGCTCTTACCTGTGCCAGGCACCACACTTAGGGCTTCCCCTCTGTCCCACCACACCATCTCTACCACATCCCTGTGAGGTCCATAGCATCAGGATCACCCTCATGGCACAGATAAGGAAACTGAGGCACAGAGGGACTAAGTAACGCGCTCCATGTCACACAGCTCCTAAGTGGCACAGCCGACATCCTAACCCATCTCTGCCAGGAGGGGAGGCCTCACTTCAGCTGGAGCCACAGGCGCGGCTCCTCGCTTCACTGGGTCACCTACGGAGACTTCAGGGGACCATCTGTTCCAAGGACGGGCCTGCTTTAAAAATTGCAGAGCGGTAGGGAGACCACCCAAACAAGGTCAGGGGAGTGTCACCTTTATTACCCGCAGTCACTAAAATGTTGAGGTAACCGAAAAGAGGGGAGGGGAAGAGAAGTAGGTAAACCAAGGCTTGACATCGCTAGCTCCAACATGTTGCGTCAAAATTCTTTGACTCATGAGTAAACAGTGACTTGTGGGCAGCACCACAGACACAGAATCTCATCACTTGTCAAAAAGAAATTGAGGGGGATGCCTGGGTGGCTCAGTTGGTTAAGCAGCTGCCTTCGGCTCAGGTCATGATCCCAGCGTCCTGGGATCGAGTCCCACATCAGGCTCCTTGCTCATCAGGGAGCCTGCTTCTCCCTCTGCCTCTGCCTGCCATTCTGTCTGCCTGTGCTCTCTCTCTCTCTCTCTCTCTGGCAAATAAATAAATAAAAATCTTAAAAAAAAAAAAAAAAAAAAAGAAATTGAGGAAGAGTAGCTGGTTTTTTAAAGGGAAGCAAGAAAGGGAAAAAGTTTTCTTGACAGATTTGAGCTATGTTTCTTTGGAGGGGGGGCGATAATAAATCTGGATCTTTTTTCAAGGTCTAGATTTCTTTAGCACTTTATAGGGTATACTCCAGAAATGGAGAGAATGTCGTTTCCCAGAGAAATTCAGTGCTCCTAGGATCCAAAGCATTTTCTCCTTTCTGAACCAGAAAAAGAAAATGCTTTGGATCCATTGCAAAAAAAAAAGAGTTCCTCCAAGTGGTTCATTGCACTAAGGTACCTAGTGGTGGGGAGGTGGGGAGGGTCGTAGATGATGTGAGAGAGGCAGAAGGAGCAGGGGAAGGGAAAGGGGAAGTGGTGAGAAATTTCATAGACCAGATTCCCTGGGTCTTGCTTTAGGTCTACTTCCTTACTTAAAATAGACTACCATAAACTTAACCCTATTGAAACATCTTTCCACTCAATATAGTTGAATTTGAATTCTTGGGGTTTCCATTAGCAAGGATACCATTCCTGTGGCAGCGACGGTCACTTTTCTCCCCACCTCTGGAGCATTTAGACTGGGTGAGTTTGAGGTTCTTGGGCAGCATCCAACAGATGTGTCAGGAAGTAGCTGACTGCGGATCAGGAGCTCGAGAGAGGAGGGCAGGAAAGATGGTGGCCAAAAACACAGACATGGCGAGATCACGCCCAGCAGGTAGTGGTGAGAGCCATATTCAAGTGAGGGACAGGGGAGAGACCTACAAGTAAGACTCAGAAGACCAGGCTGCAATAGAAGTCCAGGAGAATGGAAGGGAAATGTGTATCAAGGAGGAAAGAGCAGCCAAAGGTGTTAAACGTTGCTTGGGTAGAAAGGCACGCCAGCCCAAAGAACTGTGTGACAAGAATAATTATTTTCAAACATTAAAGCAATGTCTGTGCGTGTTGTGCTCTACAGATCATGTCCCCTGGGATCTTCCTTCCTGCCCGGAATCGGTGGCGTGTGTTGCTTCAGAAGGAAGCAGGGGATGCCTTCCAGAACAAGGAGGTCCATGCTCAGCTTTGGTCTTGGAAGCCAAACATGCTTAGGAGAGCAAAGAGTTTTCCTCATTCTATAGGCAGCTTCCTGGGAATCTGAATGGCAAGGTTTGGGACTCTGAGCACAGAGCGTCACTCTGCACCAAAGTGTAGACAGGGTGAAGGCTGTGACAAGGGGGTAGTTGCTATCCTGAGGAAGATGGGTAGAGGGGAGGAGGAAGGGAGGGCAGGGTGAGCCAGTCTTAGTGTCTCTGACTACCTCCCCCAGCCCAAGTGACCCTCTAGGTTTCTAGATGCTTTCTTAGTCTTTAACCTCCCACTGGCCTTTGCTCTCTAGGTCACTGGTTCTCAAACCCTGTGCAACCCAGGGCTACACCAGAATCACCTAGAATCCTTGTTAAAATACATAATTCTAGGACCTACAAGCTGAGACCTTCTATGGGTGAAAAACCTAGATGTTTTACAAGTTTCCCGCTATAATTCTGGTAAGAGCCAGAGTGGAAAGCACTGGTGTGTCTTCTTCTTGGTCCCTTGCCTGACCATCAAATGCCAGGGGCTTCCCCAGACTTACAGGAGCTGGGCCCCAGAACCCTGTCCCCACTCCCCTACTCTATTCTTCTCTGTAGCATGACTGCAGGCTAACAGCCCACCTACCCTACTCCTCTTTTCTCTATCGTTAACTGCATGGCGATAGGCACATAATGCGCCCTCAATGATGACTGGATGGACGGTCGGACGGATGGATGGATGGATGGGGAATCAAAGAACCAAGAAGCTCTCTACTGAAAGATATATGTTAAGGCTAAGATAAAAGAAAAAAGGGAATGATTTTATCAAGGAAAAGTTAAATAAGGGCATGAGCACATTGTTGGCCTTCTCTTTGGAGAGTCATAGGTATATACATGCGGAAACAGAAAGAGCAGATCCCAGGGACATAGAGAGGAGAGTGGGGCACACAGGGACCCAGAGGGGAGGAGGCAGAGATGACAAGGGAAACTCGGACAACAGATCCGAGCCTGCTCTCCACTCAATTATGGACACCGGAGTCCGTTCTCCCTGAAATTGCTTTGAAATGTCAATCTCTCCATTCCTTGCTGAATTTATTCTTGAAATAAACGTTTGTTTTCCCTTGGAACATTCAGCAGCTTGTTTCCGTTAGCACCTTGGCAGTCTGTGCCCTCTCCTGTGTCTGGAAGTGTCATTAATATCCAAACTGTCAAGATGGCACTGACTTTATCCGCCTGTTGGGCAGCCTTGGTCAGCAATGCTCGAAATTTACTTTAAAATCAGCATTAAATCACAAAGCCTTATTTTTATTTAAAATAAAACTGATCTTTTGGCTTCAGTTTAGGGATGACGTAGAAAGATACAGCCCTGGTAAAAATTTGGTTGCTGCACTCCTGATTCCAGAAAAAGAGGCTCCTGAAGTCGTAGTCTCGTGACAGCCAAGCTACTGAGGTTTATATTACAAGATTGCTGAGCACTGCTGGGAAAACAATGGATTTTTTTTGTTCTTAATTAGGAAATATTTTGCCCAATTGACCTACCAGAGTGTTCACCCCGCACCCTAAGAGATTAATTTTTAAAAAAAGGGAACCAGTAGATTTATTGAGATTTTTAGAGTCTTATGCTAGATTCTCTACCAAAGACTACTAATGAGTAACCCTGGGGTATGTAAAACTTTATTATGGGTCAGAAAGCAAATAGATTTAATTTTAGGAAACGAAACTGGAGTTAAATTAATTCTTCTCTGAGGGCAAAATATAAATAATGGGGATTCCCTTGGGACCCAGGTTAGCACTAATTTTATTTTTAAATTTTATCATTCATCTGAAAGAGGGAGCATACCGTGCAATCTACACATCTGTAAATTCCTCTAAGCTCTTCTGATTTTATAAGTATTAAGTCAGTTAGAATAAGCTTCTAAGACTCTTCTAAGACTATGTAAGTCAACACAAAAGTGGCAGCTAACTTTCAGTGTAACCAAGAATAAAATAATACATTCAAGAGGAATACATCAAAACTATGATAATGAACTTTAAAACTATGAATTACTACCAAGGAAAAGGATTTAAAATTGTTGAGGATTGAAAGGACCATAGTCATACAATTCCATAAAATATTGCCCACCATCTTTTTTATTTAATTTAAT